CAAACTTATGTCTGCATAGCCACGAAACTTTACTCATACGTCATATAAAACTGAATACTTAAGATTGAGCAGGTGTATCTAAGTAAGTTTGAAGCCCGTCACAAGTATGTACTTGGCCGTGCTGGTTAATTTGCAAGACTCGAATTTATATTTTGTCTTAAAAACTAAAAAAGCTTAAGCAAATTATCCCGTAAATTATTATTACAAAATAAATTGCAGACCGTTTCTTTTCATCAATTTTACTAATTTATGTACATATTTTTACTTTTGCTATATTTGTTTGAGTTTTTTTCTTTTTTAACGTTGCTCTTACCATAGAATAACATTATCCTGTGTTGTAAGGACGTTTTACAAACATAAATTTCACGTGGACAAACACCCAGATGCGAAACAACTATCTGTGGATATTTGTAGGAATCGAGTCATCCATATGAGAGAAGAATATTTGTACTGTATTTTTTTTTATGAAAAAGGAGGCAAACGAACTAGCGGGTCACCTGACGGTAAGCGATCACCGCCGTCCCCAATTGACACTTGCAACATCGGTTGAGTCACAATTGCGTTGCCTCTAAGCCTTTAAGGTAGGAGTGCACTCTGCACTCTGAAGGTCCCTAAGCCGGTCCGGAAATGGTGATTTGATATTTTGATTGTGATTTGATATAACAGGCGGTATGTCAATTTCTCCTCTCATATATATAGATATTGACATCATATATAAATAAAGTAAAGTAACGGCCTATATACTATGCCGCACAGCTGGAAAAATGCCTCTCTGTATTGAGGCTATATAGTTAATAGTCCACGCGACCCCACCGGCTGTTTGACGATCTTCAAAAATGTTATAAATATTTTTTTCGTAATTATTTCGAAACATGCTTATTTGCTGACGATATTTTTCCTTCACCGCTGAGTACGTGATAAGTCAGCACTTAATCGCGGTACCGTGATGGGAATTCAGGTCACTATAGTATATTGAACTAAAGCGAGCGTCCGGACTCTGGAATATCGAGGCTCTTTTAGCTATCACTACAGTCTTTAAAGCCACATCCTGTGACAGTAGATCTTCTGAACTTTCTTCACATACACTACCAAAATTCAAATTTCTTATAGACCAAATTAAGTTACTTGGCGCGTCGTGCCGTCCTGGTACTCCACCAGACGTCGAACAGGTGTACTGAGTGAATTTAGTAGAACGAAATCATAAAATGCTCGTGAAAGGTGTTTGCTACTTCGCGAAAGTTGGGAGGGAAAATTGTATTTTGAGGAGACGGCGGTACCACTTTGTTTTGAATTATTTATTATTTAAGTATGCAGGAACTTTAGCACTCTCTAGAGAGGGCAGGGGGAATATCTTTTAACGTTGGGGGTCGAAACACGAAGAAGCCTTTATCGTGCTGAATTCGGCAATATCTCTCGAAGAATATCGTCGAAATTTGCTTAGTAAAATTTAGATATTTTCAGACGTTAAACATTAATACACAGTGCTGGAACTGTAACGACGTTTTGATTAAAAATTCCTAAGAGATAAATTATAATTCGCAAAAACGTAACAGTACACAACCAATGCCTCCGTGGCGCAGTCGCCAAGGTATTGGTTTCGGCGTCGGGGGTCGTGGGTTCGATTCCCACACGGGACAACTATTTGACACCACCATAGATAATTGTTCCGCATCTGGGCGTTTGTCCGCGTGAAATTTATGTTTTAAAAAACGTCCTTACAACACAGGATAATGTTATCCCAAAGTAAGGGCGATGTTTTTTTTTAAAAAAGAGAACAAAAAAAGTTAGTTTTTTAGCAAGTTTTAAGATTAGATTAAAGAGGAAATAATATTAAAGAAAATAACCAGAGAAACAACAACAACAAAAACGTTTCTGTCGAAATAAGGTTTAATAGTAAATTCATATCGCAAATGATTGTTGTGCGTGAGTAATTGATAGGACTGCCCATGATTTCAAATCCTCAGATTGGTCATCCTTAATTTAGACACTCAGGCAAGTTACGATTAAAAGTTACGAAGCAGTTGTTTAATACGCGCTCCATGCATGACGTTAATAACGCGTCACGGGTCCTTAACGTAGCATTTAATAAAATAACACCAACCAGACTTTATAATCGGTTATTAAAATAAAGTAATTTGTAATTAAATATGTAAGCAGTGAAAGATAGGTTATAAATACAGTTATCATGCGTACGTACGATCAAAGAAATAAAACAGTTTATACCAACATAGTACATACATATTTCAGCACGAAGTGAAGAGCAAAAGATGGGAGAAGGACACAAATTATTTTGTGTAGGTAGTTTGCAATTTTAATTAATTTTTAATGATTTTATTTATTGATATTACAATCCATTTAAAAAGGAAAAAAATTTCAGTCATTCCAGTTTTCACCTCTATCGATAGTCCCCATGGCTGCTTTTTTACCTGTGACCGATTTTTTTTCCATTTGCATGTTTGACACAATTTGCATTATCTAGTTATTTGATATATTAGATAATTTAAATAATGCAGCATGGTGCAATCTCGCTACGGACATCATGATAACTTGATTTCTAAATTACATGCTTATAAACCTCAATTGACTAATTAATCAATTGTTTTTATTACTCAAGTGGTTACGAAACTGTCACGATAACACAAAAACGTTAACTAGCTAATTAATCGAGCAGGCACCCCCCATTCAGTGACGGAGTTAACCCTTCAAATAAGGTATACCGGGTACCAGGAGACGACGGGTCTCGAGGAGATTTAAAGTCATTAAGGTGGAGCGTTAACGCTTCCATGCTGCATAGCAAAAGATACTCTGTACCGAAGACAACAACAGTCTTAACTCTTAAAATAAAGGTGAATTTATTTCGACGTCACGAACGTGGGAACAGACAGACGTCCTTGTCGGATTCAATTACTGATTAACTGATATAATTTAAAAAAGTTAAGTAAAGTAGGTATAACTTTTTTCTTTGAAGCAACTTATTAAAGTTGAGATTAATTTCGTATCATTTTTATAATGCGCAAATATTCAAAAATTGGAGCAAAGGGTTAACATGCTCTACTTTAGTACCAGGACAACATGACTGTAGAGGCGAGGGAGAGTGGCGTGTTCCAACTATCCAAAAAAAACCAAACGTCCTAAGCCGCACAAAAGTGTAATAAGCGGACACGCACGCACTGCTCTCCTCGTCTCTTTCCGTCATTGGAAACAGAACAAGGACAAAGCGATGGCGACGAAAGGGACGGAAGATGGGGGCGTTAGTGATTGGCGGAGCAAAAGGTAAAAAAGTTTCAAAATGGAGGGCATAAATCGTTGCCGCGCTGAAGATTTGTTGGTCATTCGTGCGGGCCGCGCCGTTTATGGTCCAAGTTTTGATGAGGTCGCGGTTTATGGGCCGAAAGCTGACGACTGTTCTATAAGAACTATGGAATTATGCGATTGCGTTGTTCCTGTTCCTCTCGATGACGTTTAATGAAAGTTCTAATTTAAAGGCCATTACCCATACAAAAAAAAACCCTTTAGACAATCCGATTCAAATTAGAATCGGGCTGACTTCATAGCTGTCAATTTAAACGAGTTAGGCATTTTTTTAACTGTGTAAACTAAAGTTATCTCCATCTTGAGATATTTCTCTTTGCCGGTATTCATTTATATTCGTTTTAAAAATTAATTTTAATTATGTCTTCAATAGATGTGGTAATAATAAATCATCATATTCAAATTATAAAAAAGTTTATAAATTTTAAAAGTAGAAAATTTATGTTCTTTGCAAGCCGTATTTTCTAGTTCTTTGGTGTCATTGTAGTTATTTGGTTACTCGGTATACTCGGTTACACTCGGTCTTAAATTCTAAATATTATAAAATACGCAGTATATAATAGTTTTAATTAACTTTGTTTTAATATTATGCGAGAATTTCCAATATGTATACCAAGTAACTTTAATTTAAAAGCAAATCGTATTTATCTTCTCACCTTCTAAGTGGTTACGAGATAAACCAATAGACAGCAATTAAACCACAAATGTTTTATTTGCGTTCGATGCTGATTCAAAATCGAGAAATGTATTAACATTAATATTGACAACTGTGTAAGTCATTCGATTTTCTCTTGCCAAATTATTTAAATGGTCGAGTTTCTAACTATTCTACTGCCCTAGTTAGTATCTATTTTCAGAATTATTTTTAATAAAAGTGTACCGTAGCTTTTGCTTTAGCGAAAATCAAAGTTTAAAACTAAACAAATTTAAACCTTAAAACAGTTTATTAAAACATAAAGCAAAGTTTTACAAAGGCAATGGTGCTTGACAGCGTGTATTTCACCTTTGATCTTTCACCTCCGTGGGTTTTGCACGGGATAATTATTAATTAATCCTATGCCTTACTATTAATAACTAAGGTATTATAAGTAAAATAATACCACAACGCGTGAATTACGCCAGATATATTAATATAATTGGTCCTCATTAGACTTATATACCATTAAAGTTTTGGAACATTTATAAACCTTTTACTTTAATTGCTTATTTCTCATCTATATTATAGTGTATTTTCTTTTGACTATCCAGTTTTACAATATAATAGAGTAGTAATATTTTTATCTTATATTGAATAATTATAAATACATGTATGAAATGTCTATTCTTCCGTAATGAAAAAATAACACTATTATTATTTCGAAATAGCAACACTGTCTTCGAAGATGTAGAAGTGTCTGACTAAGCAAGCTTCACAGTACCATTTCTACGGCCTTCACAAGGCCAGATATGCGTACTTTGATAGAGGGCTCTTAAATAAGAGTGACCACGGAATCGAAGTCGGAACTATCCTGTATCGGGCTGCCTCGTGCACGCTTGTGCACTCGGTATATTGGCTTCATCGATATAACCCGTAGTTCGTACTCGTGAGCTTATACGAATTGCAGAATGTTTCGTCAAAGCTACTAATGTGTATAATATTTTGGGGCTGGATTATCGAATTGATTCGAGTCGCAGGCAGCTTCTCTTACCTGCAGACTGGGCGGACAGTGGTCTAGGAGCTCCAGCATATGCTGTATGTTCTGCGCATCCTGGATCACGAAGTTCAGCTCCATATCGAACTCCCCGCCGACCAGCTGGAACAATGGCAAACGATTCGTTATTAAAAGTCGGAAAAGATTACATACTTTCATAATTTGTCAGTTTAATCTATATATTAATATTTGAAGCAAAAACTTTGTACCCCTTTTTACGAAAACTGAGCTGACGGAGGAATATGAAAATTCCCACACTTATATTTATAAGAAGGAGTGAAGAATGCTAATATTTTTATTATGCATTAAAATACATTCAATAGATACAGAAAACATTACACACACTACCATGTATTCGATACACACACGCATATACTCTTTTGTTTATTAGGCATTGTTTTGACAATAGATTAATTTTGTTCAAACTTATAATGCAAATTATTTACCTATGTTCGAATTTCGACCACTAGTTCAAATAATTATACGTGGAGTTTAACAAATGTCAATTATTTTTCTAGTATCTAACAATGTATTTTCACATAATGCGTAGTTTCTTTTGTATTATTTATGTTATACAAATTCTGAAGGAACGTGACAACTTTGGAAAACAAGTTGTTGACGGGCCATGTTTTCCTGGTACTGCGTGATATTGATGTCACGGGACTCGATTCGTCTTAATATGAATTCCACAAAATATATTCTCTCTTTTTTTATTCAATTCACGACATACGAAGCGGTTTTAAAAATAAATGACATGACTGTGATGTGATACATGTGTTATTTATATGTTCTTATTAAACAAGACATTATTCTTTATTCAATTTTGTGTGATGTGCTCGTAGGTAAGTATGATTCAAGATTGCTTAGAATGGAATTGTGTTTTTTACCTTAGGGCTAATTAACATCATAATACTTTTCATCTGGCACAGCGTCCCTCCCCGGCCTATTTATTCAAACGATACCATTCCGCAGTGAGATATTGCCCGTGTCTTGAAAGGCCGCCGGCACAATAGTGGCCTATCCGCGTAGACTGTGTTCGACGGACATTCAATTTGCCCGATCGGTCAATCTCTGCGTAGGTCCTTCGCCCCTGGTAGTCGAGTCTTTTGTGTTCCGTTACAATAGCGTCAGGGAAACATGAAAGGTGTTTTTTCCATCTATTTATTCCAATGGGGCGGAACAGCTCTGTGAGTAAGGATTTAAAAGGGCTAGTAGATTTTTTTTTCGAGTAAAACTTGACTGCGATTCAGTTTAGGAATAAATAATACATCCGCAAGTCGAAGTTTTGGCCTTATAAGCATACAAGTAACTACATCCCAGTTACAAGGGTATCAAACAACAATCGTAGCATACATATGCTGTTGTCTCTTTCTAACAGTACACACCTTGCATTCGCCAACGGCAATATAAGCCAACGAACCCCCATTATTATTCTATGTTCATAACAATGGGCTTTTTACCCCTATGGTGTAAGTGTACTAGGCGACTAGAAAGCGAAGGCGTTACACGATGACTGGGGTTGCTAATTTTATGGGGGAGCTTTTGCTGTCGAGCTTAGAAAAAAGCACAAAAAAATATTTACTAAATTTAGCATTGTTATTGATATTAAGGCTACTTTTGTAAATTCATATAGTAGATAATATAAGATTCAAACATGTGTCAATCATAATTTAAAAATTACTTTATTTAACTTTCGAACAGAAAAAAAAAAACCAAACAAACGTCGTTCGTACAACTGACTCAAATTCTTTGTTCATATTTAATAAGTTAAGACCGGTACAGTACTAGGGTCGCAGTTAAACAGTTCCGTTGGAATGGTGCTGAACACGGTTAGGGGAATAGAACCCATAAAAAGGCCAGCCCTTATTTGTTAAGCACTCTTTACAAAAGAGACCGGTACTGCCCTTTACTTATAACATTGTATTAGCTGTCCCTGTCTCAACCGTCCGTTCACGATTTTGAGACAGGGACAGCAATAGCTATTTCCTTACTCGGGATAAATACACGGCTAAAAGAAGATATATGAAATTAAAAATGCAACAGGTAAAAAAATGCGGGCAGCTAATTGCGTCGTCTCGATACAGCCGCGGGCGTTTGCAAACACGATTATGGCCGTCGCCGGATCACGGCGTCCCTTAATTCGATTGCCAATTCACCGCTATTAATAGGCGTGCCGGTGAGCCTTTAATCGTTTATGGCTGCCTGGTATCGTATCAGCGCGGGCAATATCTTGCGGGGGCAAACCTAGGCATAAATTAATTTTTATAATGAAAATGATTTTTATTTTTATTGCACAAGGAAACAAATACAAATTGAACTATCATCCCGATTATTTTTATTTTAACTATCGATGTTTTCGAACAACTGTTGATTCGGTCAGATGCGAATTAATTAAGATCGAAAAAAAAAAACATCTACACTTGCGGTATGAACGGTACCACTGATTCTACGATAACTAAAGTAGTATGCCTGTATTTTCTTGTTCACAATATATTTTCAACATTATCGTAATTGAGACAGATACCAACCGACTTTGTGTTTGATAATTTCTTGTATTTACGCGATTACACATGAAATGAAACTAATTTTACGGGTTTATCGCGTTTATTTTTTATTGTATTTTTTGTATATTTTCTGTCCCACGACAGTCTGTCCCGTTACCATGAACTCTGTAAATGGTTCGAAACGTCGGGAATTAAAATTAAAAATAAACGCGATAAATCCGTAAAATTGGTTTCGTCTTTGTGTTTGATAAATTGTTACACAATGTTTATTTATAGGATAACTAGTGACCTAACCCCGGCTTTGCTCGAGTGCAATTTATTATACATGTCACTTACTCTTGAATCACTCTATCTACTAAAAAAACGCATCAAGGTCCGTTGCGTAGTTTAAAGGATCTAAGCATAAATAGGGCTTAGACACTTATGCCCAGTTTCTGAAAGGCCAATCAAAGCAGCAATCACGTAACACTATGTCAAAAATGATCAGCTGTTAATCTCTTGTTAAGCTGCCTTGGGTTTCTGGAAGGTTTGTTCAAGAAAAATTAGCTTATCACTGTATAACCAATGATAATGAATGAAATGAATGATTTACTTCAACTAACTCTTTCTATTGTATAGCTGCCCCTTTTTAAACAAAACTTAAAATAACGTCCTGTCACCGTGTGATTGCCAACGTAAAAATCCGAGCTATAATAAAATTTAATTTATATAAATACATACAAAATGTCAAGAAAAAACTTAAAAATAATTTACTTTTATCCATAATAAACAAGTAAGTATTATAAAAAGAAAGAATCCATATTATTTATTAACTTTTGAATTTCATTTTGTACTTTTTCTAATCGCATGATATGTTCGCATAATAATAAATAGGTAATAGAACACATGAATGTCCTTACAACGTATGAGGGAATTATATTTATTTTTAATAAAATTAAGATTTTTGATATAATACATTTTTAACCAAGGATTGATCGTCCAAATTGACAGATTACTTAATAAAACTTTGACAGCTCGTTGACCACCGAAAAACGCTTTCAGAAACTCGATTTTCTTTTGATTGACCGTTAATCAGTGACTAATTGCAAATCAAAAACAATGTTGTTTTTAGAGGTTCTAGCAACTCAGATCATGTTAAACAACGATTGACAAGAGATTTATCGTAAATTAAAATTGATTGCGCTTTCGGAAACTGGGTGTTACTTTTTTAAAATTGTTTATATTTTTACAACAGTTGATTTCATGAGTCATAACTGAAAGTACGTCGTGTCATTCTTAGAATAACAATACATTTTAAAAGATCGAACCTATTTCACCATCAATGTTTTAAAAATTGAACGTTTCCAATATTCCACACATCACAGTACCGTCAGCAATACGCCACAATATTTACAAATGGCTGAAGCACGGCGTTGGTCGTAGGGGCCTCCACTACACAATTTCGAATAAAAAAATGTACGTGGATATGTAATACACAAAGCATTATAGTTTTATTGCAGACGGATGCATGGTTAGCAAAGAAACACTGGCTTACAATAAAATACATTCAAAGTTAAACAAGGATATCAAATTTATACCACCGAACGAAATTAATGGCGTTCACAGACACAATTCAATCAAATAAATAAATTAGGCAATTGATATTAAAACTCTCCTCACCTTTAAGGCCCATTTACACGATACCATTTTCTTGTACATACAAGAGCAATAATTGAATGCAATAAATTGCGCGCAATAACTATTTAGACCATTTGTTGTTTAGACCATGCAACTCATTTATTGCTTCGATTTAATTGTATACAACAGGCAAGAAACAAACAATGATGAGATTAGAAGAGGGTATATTATTTATTATATTGAAAAGAAAGAGTTCTAAACGTATGCATCGGCCATTTTGTAAGACAACTCGATACTAGGCCTGCAGGAATGCGAAATGTTACATTAAAAACTATTCAACAATCTCCTCACATTGCTTGTTCGATGTTCGCAAGTGAACGAAGATTGTTAAAGAAGTTTATAACTTAATGCAAACTTCGCAACGTGTTGCACTATATAGATAAGGTTTGGCATAGACAAGATATAAATACCCAGACACTAGAAAAACACTATGTTCATCACACAATATTTTTCCAGTAGTGGGGATCGAACCCACACCCTCTCTCGCAGAAGGCAGGTACACTACCGACTACGCCATTCGGGTCGTCAGATATTACTGTATACTGATGACGAAAGTGCAAATTTGTAATAGACATTGACTGAAGAATTATATGAAATAAATATTACATTAAAATCCAAATTTAGAACTATTTTTGTCTCATCCATTCATAGACAACCGTGAAAAACAAAAAGTACGTGCTTAAATAGGACCACATAATGTTGTTGCGTTCTGGTCGAAGTGGCACAGGACGTTGCCACACGGGCATTAGTTACGTGCGTAAACACAAAGTGGTCGTAAAGTCGCGAGCAGTGTTGGAGTGTCGTCTGGCCGAGCTCTTATAGTAAAAATATTATTTGTAGAGACCTGAGGGTCATCGGCAGCTTACTACTAACCCTAAAAAGCTTTTACTCGAACCATTTTTAAAGCTACACTTGGCAAAGCTCTTCGAAACGATGAATAATATTAGTTTATTGCTGTGGCCAATAAGGTGGTAAACAAAGCGACAGTCTACCTGCTGTTAATCGATTACAATCGCCCATGGGGGAGGCCTATGTTCAGCAGTGGACGTCCTACGGCTGATATGATGATGATGATGATGATGGTTATTAAAATATAAAAGCCTTCCAGCCTCCAGCAACCTGGTGGCGACACGAATTCAATTGTTAATTATACTTTTACGTTTTGATTAATCACGTGCTCGTCGAGGATAAAAAGGTAGTGATATTAAAGAAATTGCATTTTTTCGAAATAATAATTTAAAAAAAATATTTCGTAGGTACGAAGATATATGTGTATAAAGGCGTAAGTAAATCGGATCAAAAAGATAGATTAGAATAATTTTCTTAATTGTTTATTAGTAATTAAGAAAATTTCGGATAAAATGTAATACAAGTTGTAACTGTATTTCATGTAGGTATAAGTAATATTTAAAGTGTTGGATTTACCGATTGTAAAACTTGAATAGTCTTGTACGGAATCATTTCACACAATTAATATTGGGTCATTGCGGATTTGTTAAATGAAGCAACATTTTTTTTTTTACTTGGAAAAAACTTTAATCTGTAATATATTTCCATCTTTTTCTATGACCTTTTGCAATCTCTCTGACAACTTGAAAATTCCACGCTCTTAGAACGTCTGATCCTTTTTGGCCAAAGCCTGAGTTAAGTGAGATTTTACAGTATCATCATCATTGAAAGTTTTACCACCAATGGAGTTGCCCAGAGATCGAAATAAATGGTATTCCGATGGTGCGAGATCAGGGTATATGGTGGGTGTAACAACAATCAATAACTTTGATTTGGAAATAATAAAGCAAAATATGGCGAAATTGTTATTTTTTGCACTACACAATGAATATTGAGGTAAAAAAAAAAAAATATCAAAAATGAAAATGAAAATAAAAATATCAAATAAAGAAAAAATGAAAATATCAACGCAATTAACTTGCAAGGTAAGGATGACAGCTAACATATATAAGAACAAGAAGATCATAAAATTTACGGATATAATTAATAGAAGTGAGAAACACCTACAACTGAAATCCGCAATGACAGTTACCAACCCATTTATTCTTTTTTTTATTTCTGTTTCGCATGTATGGCTAACAATTATTAATTATTAAAGTATGTTTGTACGTAGAAACAAATTCAAAAATTATAATAGATACACAAAGCACAAACTCAAAATCCACGATCTTGTTTTTATAATACCCGCTAAACGTTTTGATCGAAGGGAGATGGAAAGTTCTCGAAACGGGCCACT